CGCCAATGGGGGGGGAGGGGGAGGGGCGGTGGCCACCAATGGGTGCGCAGGGGACAGCCCCTGCCAGGGCTGGATAAGGCCCGGAAATCCCAGTTAGCCCAGCGGGAGCGGGGCTGTGGTGCTGGGCAGGATGCGGGGCAAGGACGATGAGTACGACTACCTCTTCAAAGGTGGGTGGCCTGCCCTGCCTGCGCTGCTCCGGCCATGCCTGCAATGAGCTGTGCGTGGTCTCAGCCCACTGCCGGCGGTGCTGGCTCCACGCAGCACCCTCGGGATGGAGCTGGAAGCCGGGGGCTTTGGCTTTTGTACTGGGATATAACATGCAGCTCCCGGTGCTGGGGGGCCTGGGGGATTTTATTGGGGTGCTCCCCCTGTGCTTGGGCAGAGCGGGTGGTGCTGGGGTCTCAGGGCAGAGGCTGAAATGCTGCTGGGGTCCGAGGGTTTGCATAGAGCTGGTCTGTAGCTGTTTGTGGCCCTAGCGCTAATTAAAGCAGCTCGTTAGTGCTGCGGGAGGAGCCTGGGGACCCTCCCCTGGGTGCAGGAGCCTGGGGACCCTCACCCAGGTGCAGCACCCAGAGGAGGGGTGGCTGTGCCGGTGGCTGGGTGCTGGTCCCTGGGGGCAGCCCAAGGAGGCAGGGGCGGTGGGCAAAGCCGGTCTGTGTGGCACCGTGGGTGCTGTGCCGGCCCCTGAGCCCCTCCGAGCGGGTTTGGGTGCCCCCCTCTGCCTGTTTGGGGTGGGGGGAGCAGCCCTGGGGGCTGAGCGAGGAACCCCAAACCGCGCTGCTCGCCTGGCTGCGGTTAAGGGAAAGGATCTGGGGTTGTCCTTCCCGGTGCTGGTCACCCTGTGACCTCTCCGGTGTGCAAGGGGGGGGACAGGATTGGGCCCTTGGAGGCTCCTTTGCTTCTCCCCCAGCGCCGCGCCAGCAGCGTGGCTCTGCGGTGGCCCCGGCGCGTTGTCCGGTGGTGCCCGTCCCTTTTCCCGTGATCCTGCAGGAGCTCAGCGGCTCAGCACCGGGCTCTGCGTTCCCCTCCTCGGGCTCGTTGGTGATCTCCGGAGTCTTTAAAAAAAAAAAAAAAAAAAATTAAGAGAACTTGCAGAAACGCAAGGTTTGCTCCCTGTTGGTGGAGCAGGAGCAAAGCCCAGGGGAGATGCGATGTTGGGGGGCAGGGAGCTGGGGTTGGGGGGGCTCTGCTGAGGTCAGCTTCTCCCCCCCTTGAGACATGGGAGATGGTCACCGCTCGGCGCAGCGTTATCCCGATCGCCGCCGAGATGGGAGCTGCCTTTGGTCGCGAAGCACGGTGCAAATTCCCGCTGCGCTCCCGGGAAGGCCCTCGACGCTGCGGGAGGGGGTCGGGATGGGTGAGAAGGGGCCCTGGGCATGGCTGCTCCTTGGACCCTTCCTCGGGGCCCCTGTGCGGAGCTCGGGGCTGTTCCTATCCCCGCCGTTGGGGTGGGATGTGACGCGTTAGGGGTGTTTCACCGCGCGGGGTGCACGCTCTCTCTGCTTTAAGCAGCTCACGCTGCGTGTTCAGGGGCAGCAAGGACCGAGGGGGTCAAAAATGGTTTTGTGCGTGGGGTGGAGGATGCTGCTCCAGCCCCTCTTGCCCTTCAGGGGGACAGGGCTGAGCACATACCCCTCTCTGCACCGAGGTGACCCCTGGGGTGCTGGATCCCAGCCCCATCCAGCCCCTTCCCTGCATCCCTGGCGTGGTGCAAAGCCCGCAGGAGCGTGCCAGGGCCACGGGGGTTCTGTGCAAGGTCAGCGTGAGCCCGGCACGGGCTGGCTCTGCTCCCTCCACCCTCCCCCAGCCCAGGTTCCTAAGGCTTTCCTATGCCAATATTGGGGTTTTTTCCTGGTTGGAGAGGTGACGCGGCCCGGCACGCTCATGCCTCAGTTTCCCCTGGCTGTACTTGGTGCCGTCTCCTGTCCCCCCGGGGCCACGGAGGTGCCTGGGGCCGGAGGCGCTGCCGGGATAGGGGATGCGGCGGTTGAGCCGGGGGAAGTGGCAACTTCCCGTTGATTAAACACCAAGCCCGGATCAAAGCGACGAGGCTCAGTAAGCGTTAACGAACCTGGCTCATCACCAGCCTGCATTTTTCTACCGGTTTGTCCAGGGTAGCCCAGGCTGTCACGGGTCCTCCCGGGCCTCCAGGTAGCCCACGGTGGCTTTCAGCGCTGCATGGAAGAGCCACCCTTCCCTCTGTCACCAACGTGGCGATCGCCAGCAAGGCTCCGGTGCCTTCCAGCTGCCCTCGGTGACCGCGGGGAGCTGCTCCGGGTGCTGTTGGGCTTTGGGGAGCCGTGCTATTTGCTGGCTGCCCCAGGCTGTCACGGGTCCTCCCGGGCCTCCAGGTAGCCCACGGTGGCTTTCAGCGCTGCATGGAAGAGCCACCCTTCCCTCTGTCACCAACGTGGCGATCGCCAGCAAGGCTCCGGTGCCTTCCAGCTGCCCTCGGTGACCGCGGGGAGCTGCTCCGGGTGCTGTTGGGCTTTGGGGAGCCGTGCTATTTGCTGGCTGCCCCGCAAGGAGGGTTTTGGCAGGGGGGTGGCTCCCTTCTTGGAGGCTTTGCAGCCCAACCCATGTGAGGGAGCCACGTCCCTACGACCCGGGACTGGTGGGGAAGGGGTTATGCGGGACACGGAGCAACGTCCTTGGCGGATGGTGGCTGCTGAGCCTTGGGTGAGCGTAGATGTGTCTTGCCACGGATCCTGCCGCGTGCTCTGCAGCCCTGGTGACAACCTGGTGACAAGCGCCGCGGCGTGGGGGGCCCGGTGGTCCTTCCCTGGTGG